CTACGCACCGAGATAATTCTGTTTCGAAAATCTAGCTGAAAGAGGACGCTACATCCGCCTCACTGACTGGGGTGCAATCGATATACCGAATCAGAATGGTAGGATTCTCTGGCCTCAAAGTTTTGCCCGCATTACGGATGCCATGCCAACTTTCATTCGATAAGAAAAGGCGCCACTTGAAGCAAAACAAACCTCGCTGGTGAAACATTGCGTGCGATGAAGCTCTCGTTCGTATAGACTGGGCATGGAAGCAAGGGCTGAAAGTTGAAAGTGGCTTGTGCCCCGATTTTCAGGCGTTTCCGTAGAAACCTCAGCCGAAAAAAGCGCTCTTTGGCTGAACAGCTGAATCGTGCTCGGTGTGACCGCGGCCTAAAGCGTTCTTGCAGGAGAGGTCTAGCAAGTCCATTTAGGCAGCGGTAAGCAATTACATAGGTTTTGAAGTTGAGGAGTTTCTGAAGGGCGTACAAGTTAGTATGACTGTAGACAAGAGTGGTGGGGGTCATTCTATCCAACGAAAATATTATCTTTAACGCTACGCGGCTGGCAGTAAGAAGCTTGTCATAATTATAGGGTTTGTGTTAAGCAATGAATATATGCAGTGCCAAACTCGAATGTGGACTGAATGATCGATAAATAGAAAAGTCGTTTGCCAAAAATGCTGACATTCTGCTTTGCATGGACAAATCCTCTGACCTTCCTATTGATATTTACACATATAGCATCCACTTGGTTTGAGAAGGACAGATGTTCGTCAACCAGTATGCCTAAGTACCGAACGGAAGCAGATGGGACTATGGAAGTGGCCCGCCAGTTGACTGCAGTGCCAGGAGGCAAATCCGTGCCCAGTCGCTGGAGCAGAACAAATCGAGTCTTGGACGGGTTTAACACCAGCCCTTCCGATCTACATTGTAGGTAGCAATCCAGAGCGGCAAGGTCATCACTCAGCTGAGTTGTGATGATCTGGATGGACTTGTGCCTGATATAGAGTTCTGCAGCATTGGGAGTAGTGTTGGAAAATTGCTCACTAGATGTAGCAGATGGACGAGCTTTCCTTCAGGTTTGAGTTTGGATGCATTTCAGAATGGTGAAATTGAAAATTTCAAAATTGTTTATTTCAAAAAAAAACCAACAATTGATGATGGGAGACATGTCCTTAGCGCTAGAAGAGATGTTCTACTATCTTCCGGGGTATAATTCTTGGTAATTGAGGATGTAGCTCGCTGTTTTATCAGCGCTTGCAATTTAGTTATTTTCAAGATGCTCATTTTTTGGTATCAGGGGGTGATGACCCTCGTCTTCTGGGATGCTGGCGTGGCTAAGCTGTGCCGCCCCTGGAACTTTTCTAAGGGGACTCAATATTGGCTTGATGGAGTCTTGTTCGTGTAAGATGTTGCATTGCTCGTTTGCAGACTACACTCGTGTTGTTACGAAGCTCAAGAACACGCTGACCATGTTGTAGGTCTGCAAATCGGGACTTTCCCTGAACGTGTAGGTCGAAGACAATACCGTACCAGTGCCATGACGTTCTTTATGACGTAAGAAATCTGCAATGCAGTTCACGCGCCAAGCACGTACTCCCAGTGCTGTTTGCGTACCAGTACAGTCATCCCAAAACGACTGTCATAGGCCTACCCTGGAATTCGCTAAATAGCATGTGCAGGTCGGCGACGACGACATGAATGTGATTATGCATGCCCGCTAGTCACTGCTAATTGCCCAGGGTCAAGTATGGTCTAAGAAAGACCGAGGTGAGATCTTCGATGTCACCATGGGTGCATATGAAGGTGCGGAGGCCTGTGAAGTATTTGGAGCCTACATCATTCACAAGCTACCTATGCACCTGGACTGGACGTCAGTGGGGCTCTACCATGACGATAGACGTGCAGTGCTGAAGGATGCAAGTGGACCAATGGCCGACAGAGCAAGAAAGCCTATAATCGATGTATTCAAGTCGTGCGGATTGAAGATAACAATAGAAAGTAACCTGCGCATGGTCAACTACCTGATTATCACCATGTGCCTGGAATCCGGTATGTTCAAGCCATACTGTAAGTCCAACGACACTACGCTGTACGTAAGCGCAAAATCTAGCCACCTGCCGCAGGTGTTGTAAGAGAATACCCGTTGGCATTAACAAACGTCTGGCGATGATTTCCAGCTCAAAGGAAGTCTTTGAGGAAGCCGTGCCTGAGTACGCCGACACGCTACCTGCCATTGGCCAACTCAGAGTGCTTGTGTACGACGATGTGATCGCCCCGTCAAGCCACAAGAGGAAACTCGGGCGAGACATCATCTGGTTCAATCATCCGTATAATGCCAATGTGAGGACAAGCATCGGAGGCCAGTTTCTTGCACTAGTAAGCAGGCATTTCCCGAAGAACGCCAAATTGCGAAAGCTCTTCAACAGAAAGAAACATTGAAAGGTCAGCTAAAGCTGCATGTGGTATATATTTCTTTTGACCAGACGAGACAACACTTGCAGACACCAGCACGAACACTGCATCAGTCACACTCCACAAAAGCTAGACAAGTCCACTAGGTCGGGGGAGGTTGACCTACCTCATCCGCAAGCATGCCAGGCTCCTCTGTGTTGTCAATGTTCGCTTGCCCAATTTTGTCTACCTCCCCTTTTATGTTGCTGGCCAGTGCTTTTTAGTAATTAAAAAAAGTCTTGTTTCGTTCCATTATGATGTTGGGAACTCATCAGAGGAGAGGTAAATATGGAACTAAATCGGATATTGTTTTATGGAAGATATTGGCGCAATGGGAGTACACTCAACGAACTATCATGTGCTACAAATCAACACCAATGAAATAGTGCAGAACGAAGGTCTTACGAACCCTGCCGACACAACAAGGCTTGTCAGAAGCAACTTCTAGCTTTTGTGGAGTGTGACTGGTGCAGTGTTCGTGCTGGTGTCTGCAAGCGTCGTCTGGTCTCGTCTGGTCAAAGAAGGGTTTTCCACTACTATTGTAACTGCATGCCTAGTGTGGAAGCGCGGATTAAAGGCCACAACAAGAAAATAATGCAACCGAAGCACGAGAGAGTCCCCTGCAACCGCATCTTGTCCACTGTAAGGTGAATGCAAGTCGACCAATATGGCGTATGAGGCCGAAGTAACGTCTGCCCTTGCCCTGAATACATACACCGGAAAATCGGTACCGGATTTCAAGTCCAGATATGGCCATCATATGGCGGCGCTGTGCCTCGAGCGGTATGAAACAAATACCGAGCTGGCGAATATGTATGGAGCCTTAAACGCCAGAATAAGACCTGCAATATTAGCTGGTCCATCAAGGTAGGTGTCCAAGCGTACACCAAGCGTTGAAACGTGTGTGTCGCGGAAAAATACCAGCAATTCCGATCGAAGCACCTCCCTCAACAAGTGAACCGAGCTCCTGTCAAAGTGTAGGCACGCTGCCAAGGTTTGCTCGGCAGGTACCGAATCTCGTGACTTTCAAGCACATGGCGCGCGGCAGCCACTTTCACCCATTTGCAGGCCTTCTAACTATGCGTGTAGTATATTGCATATAGCTTGCCTTCGCGTCATCATGGTCATTCCATTTTACTTTTCCTTTTCCTCACCTATTCTAAGCACCTATAGCCATCACAGTGCGTGGAAATTTGCACCTTGCAACTGCGTGTTGGTACATTGAACGGCAAGTATCTCTCCTCCTCCAACTTATTCTAAGCGCTGACCAAAGTTTACAACATCTTGAACCTGCATGATTGTGATTGCAGGTAAGCCGCATTATCATTCTTTCACACAGCTTTGCTTGCCTTCCTGCCGTCATTATCATATTTTCTTTTCTTCTCTTTTCTCTCTCACTGACTATGGGAGTTTGGCACATTTTCCCTACAGGACGTTTCACACCCACCAGACCTCAAACCGTCACGGATTCCTTCCTATGCCACTACTATCAGGTGTCTGAAGATTGCCCTCTGGCATGAAACTATTACTTAAAACAAAGTTTCAAACCAGACGCGTGGTACTCTGTGAGTCGTGTGTTACTGCTCTGCTTCGGCATTGAGCATTCTATCGAACGGGAGGACTTCGCTCTCTGTAACTCTCCTTGCTGGACAAGGGGGTATGTCAACGGACTATTGCCTATTGCAACACTCTTAGGACTGTTTATGGGGGTTCTGAACAGACCATACATCGCCCTGTCTCTCACGCCCTTCTTGTTAACGGAGCCAAATCGGGATGGATCCTGCGCAGCAAGCTCCAGCGAAACGTTCTCCATGGCATTCGACCCGGTGAGCGCGCAGCTGCCGAAGCACGATGAGATCCATCTCCATAGTGTATTGGAGACGCTGGCATTACGTCGTGCTGGATAGAGTGCGTCCGGAGGAGACACTACGTCCATCACCTGATGTGTCACTTGATGTACTTGAGATGGGAGTGACCGGAACTGACGCTTGCACGACGGGAGTCTGCTGCGGATCCACATCATAATCTTCCATTACCATACGCCGTCCAAGACCTTCCATCGTAAGCTGAAGCTACCACACTGAACGACGTGCCACGGAGATAAAACTAAAATCGACTCAGATCAAAGCAAGACTGTACGTGGAAAAGGTATCCGGAGTGAAGAAAAAGGGCAACGAAATTTTTTTAATTCGAGTTTCGAGCTCACTAATATTTGTCAACTTTTTCGCTGCTTGCTCACAGTGACGAAAAAATGCAACGAAATTCGTTATGCTGAACCTCCCTATTAGCTGGACTCGTTTCGCGCTGCTTTTCACTCCCTCTTACTGACTGGGGAGTTGGCTTTTATCGATGCTGGTTTGGGAGCTTGCACATCATTGTGAATATGATGAAGGCAATTTGCCGAAACGTTGGAATAATTATTGTGAAATGGGTTGAACTATTGAAGTGTTAAAGGAAGAAATCGTGTGCTCTACTCTTAACTGTTTATGAAACTGGAGGAAGCCTCACCACTTTCACTTAATTTATGCAATGTGTTTTATTTGTTGCTCCACATTGTGCTATTCTCAGTTCCACCCACGAAGCCGGTACTTCAAACTCCAGTGTCAGTGTACAACGACACTGTACACAACATCAACTGTACCAGTCGAGGATACCCAGAACCTACAGTGACACTAATGGTCAACAATGTCGTATTGCCAGGCAGTGATACAACCAATTGTACTGCTGGTGTGTGTACAAAGACACGAACAGCATCACTAGAAGGTAGTACCTACACACCTGGCCAGTACATCAATATCACCTGTACTGTGGATATCAACCAACCACCATTCACATGTACTACTGCTCAGACTTCAGCAGTACAAGCACAGTGTAATGCTTCTGTCAAGACCAACTCGAAGATAGGAACAGTTCTAGTGGTTGGTAAGCCTTAAACCCCAACACAATTACGCACCAATAACACATTTTCAATGGTTTCTAGGATGAATGAAAAGTATGTCTACCTGGTATGTGCCGTATTCCCTGCATACATGTAGGACCGGCATTATAACATCAGCGTAGTGAGCAACGAACGTGTATTTGTCGCTCTTGAAAAGGAGTTTCATTTTAGTTTTTATCAATACTGATGTTTTGGGCTCGGAGAGAACTAAATAAGGAAAGGGTCTTGGGGTACAAATTTCACCAGCGTACTCAATCTGATCTGATGAGGTGTGAATTGAGCGAAACACAGTGTATTGAGCAGGTAGTTGTTCGTTCTTGGACCGAGATATAGGTTGGATGGAAATTTCGTGGGCAGTGGATGGCAGTCGGGAATCAATCAAATGGGATTTCAAGTCAGCAAGACAACGTCAGCTCCCACTTTGAGGGCGGGACACAATTTCGCTAGTTTCGTTGAAGTTGCAACAACCTTTTCTTCGCATTGTTATTTTGTTTCCGTCAAATGATCTAAAACATTAATAGATTATGTCCTTGTCTTGGAAATGAAATCGCATATCTGTTAGGAAAACAAGAACCAATGAAATATAAGTTACTCTCTAACACCGCCTGTTACTTGACAATCAGCTCATGCGATATCATTGCACGACACTTAAGGTGGTTCACACCCTCTGCGCGCGCATCCTTTGAAAAGTGTAGATTTTCAGTAAATTTTTCGGTAGCGATGATTTTTGTGCGATCAATCGTTGTTGAACGTCTTCTCGCTTTTCTGCAATTCTGGCGACCTAGCTAGAACCTGCTGCTAGTGTCCCTCTTCACTCGTTCTTTCTATGAAAGGGGAAGGCAGCACTCGCAGAAGATTTTCCAAGAATGCAATGTTGACTGGTGCTCGTACCATAAGAAGGGATAAATCAAAGTCCGCTCTTGAATCATCGCGGCCTGAGTATTAGAAAATTATTATTTCAGAACACGCTTGTGTAGATTTCCTGCCAGTGCCACTGACATCTCGCGACCTTCAAATATTGTAACTTGCTCGATCATCTCCCGCACTGACTGGCAAATTCGTCACGTAGCTGTGGATGGATCGATTCAGGGAGATCGAAGGTAAATATATCGAAGCACTTCAAACACGTTTCAAGACGCACCTAAAATTTTGTAATTGTGTCTTGAAAATGGTTTAGAACAATTCCACGGTACTTCAATACGCTGTTGAATTGTATCCTCTTCTTCGGAGTCTCGACTGTTTTATCGCTGCATGGCTTTCCTCAACACCGTCCACTGTACAAGTATCGCGGAACGCAGATTGGATGGCATTGGAGGTGAATTTGATAATTTGTGACTGTGTCATCAACCAATTGAGGACAATAGCAACAGGGACGCTCCGAAAATCAAAAACGCTGCGAAATAGATATGAAAATGGTCTTACACACTGGAGGGTATTCCACATACATTGTGTCATATCTTTAGACTGTCCGAAAGTTTGTCGTGCAGTGCAACTTTCACAGACTAATCCGATAATTGGCATGTGGCCCTACTGGCACACACTCATGCGTATGCCGTTCAGTTTATCTATATGTGCACGCACATGTGTGTATACATATACAATTTTATTACGTGTGTAAAATTAGGCAATCTACATGTACATATATATGTGTGTGCACTCACTCCTATGACATAGAACGACAGTGCAGGCTATGTAAAGTCGCATCAATGTGTGTCACCCGGGTGTGTACATGCATGCCCGCTCGCGCAGGCGTTTTGTGTGCGCGCCTTGCAGGGCATAACGCCGTTCAGTATGACTAGTGTTGAACCGTGTTAATTTGCCCCCACCCCCTCCTTTTTCTCCTGGCGTTGGATGTGCAACTAATGACATAAACTCGGTTGTTGAAAACGAGTGCCATGCACCACAATGGATTGACAATAATATAATACAAGTAGCGCTGTAAAAGCGCTGGTAATACTCATGTTGCAGCCATGGCAGTTGGGAGTAGCTTTCCAAATCAAGCCTGCTGCAGAAATTCTTGCACTCTGACTAGCTGGAGTGGCCCAGGACTGCCGGTTGTGGAGAACAGGAGTGATGCTTGTATATACGCTTGTATTTACATGATGCAAACAGTGTACTTCGAAGTAACGTTAGGTGTATTACTTGTGTGTTCTTCTGCCTGTGCGCGTGTACATGTGCTGGTCTGTGTGGAACCGCCATCCATATCAGATCATACAGCTGCTATCAGTCTCAACAGCTTGTATCTGGCAAATATGGTTTTAGTGACTCGATTTTGCTTACTGTGTTCAACAGAGTGGCATTGCACACAGCTACTTTATGTAATAGTAGCATCTTGGAAATTTTATATTTTTAATAGTTAGCTTCAGTAGAAACTTCTCCAGTGTGGCTCTTAGCTTCATTACCACGGAGACTAAGCAATTAAGTAATGCACGAAGAACAGTGGCTAGATCTGAAGTTAAAAGCCATTAGACCGTACCCCGTGGAATACGCATTTAGTATAGAAGTATTTCTTGCTATGGTGGCAGCAAACACTGTATAATTATAATAATTACATTACCAGTAGAAAATGCCCAATGTGCATTGCTTCAGCACTATGTTTTGGACAAAGCAGTCAACAAATTCCACATCGCTATCGGCATAATGTTGGAGAAAGTTGTGAAAAACACTAGAGCATACATGTACACTCAATACGCATGCTCAGCTACATGTATGGCATTTGGTATGTGGGCGACTTCAAAGTTCTATTTTCGTAGTTTGCTTCGGTAGAAACTGTCTAAACTTGATCCAAAGCTCTACTACTATGTTCTGAAGATGTTGCAATCAAGTAATGTAAGACACGTATCTGCCGCATTGGAGCTAGTTGTGAAAACCTTGTGAAAACCTTTAGACCATACACTCAATGCGCATGCTCAGCTATGGCAAATAGTATTTGGGCGACTTCAAAGTTCTATTTTGGTAGTTAGCTTCGGTGGAAACTGCTAAAACTTGATCCAAAGCTCTACTACTATGTTCAGAAGATGTTGCAATCAATTATTGTAAGACACGTATCTGTCATATGGTGGAGTCAGGGGTTCTAAGGCGTTGGACAATGTCCCAGTGCAATGTGCTGATTCTTGAAATATGGCATCACTTGAAACTTCAAAGTTTTCTTTCACGAGTTACCTTCAGTAGAACCTGCTCAAACTTGCTACACAGTACCAATATTTGGTAATGATAGCATAACCATCGAATACAGGGCAAGTCAAATACTTGTGGGCGGGGCCAATACGTGGGACGTGTGCGCTGAAATGGGATGATTCCGAAAAGAAGAAAAAAAGGTCACCTTCTAGCAGAATTCTACCCACTTCTACAGCTTATGCTGATATTTAGCAAGACAGTATACTACTGTCCTGATGTTGGACATCAAGAAAAAGGGGGTACCTACCAGTGCTACGGCCAAAAAAGTGGTCTTCCGGTATTTTTTGGCCTAAATTGGCAATTGTGAGTATGCTATGTTTGGCCCCTCCCCCGAGTGAAACCGGCCGGTAGAACTTCATAAAATTTGTCTCCGTACACTAGATATCCAACGGAACAAAGTACAATTGTTTGTAGCCACGTTTCAAACAAAAAAAATGGACCTGGTGCGTCCATGGAGCTGTGAAGCCGAGACCTATGGTCGGCGGAGCTTAATGGGCCCCACCACCACACTCCATCATTCACCCCAGTGTCTGGAGATATGTGGATTTTGTAGAAAAAAAAAAGAAAAAAAAACCCGAGGGGTAGGAGCCACCTTAAGAAAGGTACTGATGGTGTCCAACTAACTTCGAAGTAGCTCTAGTAAATCTTAGATACGCACTCCAACAGCCGTCCAGCTAGCTGTTCTAAATTATAGAAGTAACATAGGAGGGGAAGGGGAGCGCAACAAAAATAAGCATGAGCTGTAAGTCTCGGATATGAAGGACGTTGGCGGATGTACATCTATATCGAAGACGATACTGGCAAGACTATTGGACAATACGGCCGATCTAACCACAAGTCAAGCACGCATAGCAACATGCTACAGAACCTATGTGACTCTAAAGTTTCGAAGATCGATTCGAGGGGAAGCTAAGCGAACATGGATCGTGCTGAGCCGAACGCTTCAGTAATACAGTAATGTACTTTGGTTGGCAATCGCGAGTCTTGATCTTCCAATATATCATCTAACATTACAAGGATATGTCGAATATGATTGGTAACTATTGTGTGGAATAGAGGATAAATAGATTATATACCTCATAGGCGGTCTATACAGGATCAATAAAAAATAAAAAATATAATTTGACGAGTTCGCGTACCGGGCAGGTCAAGAACAAGGAGTCGTACAACTCCCTGGTCAAGAACCACCTTTCCGCTTCCGTGGGACTCCCATTTGCCACAACCATGTTTTACTCATGCCAGGCCACGAGTTGCCAATTAATTGTTGGTCACAGCACGTTTGGAAAATTCCTTCCGCTTCTAAGGATCAATAGACCTCTTAAAAAACCTCGGTGTTTTACTTTTGCTATATTTTCTGTATGGAAACCCGAATAGATCCATAATCTGTACTAGTGGAAGTTAACAATAAATGTCCACGGTGAAATTGTATTTACCCTCCAGCACAATGTCCAGCTATCAATGCTTTTGAACTCAATTACAAACCCATTGCCACTACCAGCACACGACCAGATACCAATGTACCTATTGAGTGTAAAGTGGGATATTTGTCTGACAATGGCACGGCAATCACCAATACTACATGTCAGAACATTGGAGTATGGCAACCAAGTCTACCACTATGTGAAAGTAAGGCTGTGCACCGTCTGCGCCAGGAATGGTAGACTATTGGAAATATTATTTCCACGTTAACTCTTTCACTGCTGGCCTAGTTTCCCCCTGCCAGCTAAGCTTTCAACGCACTTGCTTTCATTTCAAACCCGGCATGCACGTCGCCGAGCAAAATCTTTCACCATGTTTTCATTATTTTAATGATGGATTTCCATGACCTCTTCTTGGAAAGGCCTTAGCCAAGGGAAGGCTCTCTGACAGTTCTCAGCTCCATTGGCAGGCCAGCGACACTTCTATGTGCTCTAGAAGAAGCCCTTGCATGTCTCAAAATCGCTAAATAACTTCATGATTCAAACTGCGCTGCACAGCTGTGATCCAAGCGCTTTGGTTGGTGCCCAATACGCATGCACTGTAGCAAAGGGAAATTCCCTTAAAAGGCGAGTCGCGAGCAAAGAGCTTGAACTGATGGCCAGAAAGCGTACTTGAGAGGGTGAACATGGACCTGATCGATTTCTTGACGTTCGCTTTGCGGTTACCCCTGCCGGCACCAATACACACTGCCTTTATGAGAAGCGTAGTGACAGTGGCGTCAACTTGGACTTTCATTCCCAAGTGCCTTGCTCGGTCAGGTATGCGGTTGGTACGCAGCACTTCTTCAGAGCTGGAAATATTTTGTCCTCACGGGCACAAGTCTGTGAGAGACACAGTATGACGAAGAAATGTTTGCGAAGCAACAAGTATAAAATTGCAGTACTTCGTGTATTGTAGTTATGAAGCAACACTGGCAACACCGAGTGGTTGTCCTGCTAAAAAAACTGTTAAAAAACGGTGTTCCCTGACTTCTTTTCACCGTAGATGGCATGATCTTTACTCGCATGCATCCGCCGATCATCCACTGATCATGTCTTTGACATTACATGCTTTTGTTCTGCCTTGCCTGCTACGTACTGGTGATGTCTTTTCATGTGGTTTTGTTTTGCTGATCAAGGCTGTCAGGAGGAATGCAATGACACGCACGTTGTTGATTGTAATCGTGTTATGGGAATGGCTGTCAACTGTATTTGTGAAGTGAACTTCTATTGGACCATGGGCCAATGTCGAGGTAAGTGCTTCTCAGGACAAGACGTACATTATTGGTAATAGTGAAGAAGAGGTTGTTGCAACTTCTGGCGTATTGGTTACAGACTTGGATAAGGGAAGTAGGCCACAGCGAAGTGACGACCACTTTGAGCTGTGTCTGCTTTGCTCTAACTTGATCCGAGCCATCATGATTGTCATCGCTACGCGCAAAGACACATGCTTTCCAACTCTTTTACGGCCGTTGGAAAGCGTAGTATCTTTTCACAAACTAGGGAGATGGTGAACGCCTCAAAACTATCACAAAAGTCACTAAACGGTGCATCTCATTGTTAACTTAGATGAAAAGTAATCGACAGAACAGACCACTAACATGCCGAAATAACCTCCCCTATCTACAATTATCCTGAAATTGATGGAATGCGGCTGGAATAGTATACATGTAAAAGTTTATTACGTACCTGCAGTAAAAACAATACATTAGAACAACGGTTACTCTGCGTCCTCCTTATCTGTAACCTCACTCTCACAAGAAGCAATGGTCTCAGCCAGATTGAGGATCGGTTGCAGCTCCTCCTCCAGCACCAGGTTGCACCTTACTTGGGCTCCGCGTGCACGCAACACGCTGCAAGCTCACTCTGGATACCGGTGATGGCAGCAGGGTTTTCTTGCACGAGGACAACAGCCTAACGACATTCTTCTGCACAATAGATGACTGCAGCGTCTTCACAATGAGAAAACCCTCTCCGAAGGCACCAATGTGCCAGGTGCACTGAGCAGGCGGTATGCAAGGGGAACCAACAAGTCAAACCTGCTGGATTTGCTTTACCACCACTGCTGTGGTTCGTCGCTCTTAGGCACTGGTCGCTCCGTCAGGAACAGCTCTGGCATGCAAACGCTGGTACATTCGCTGCTACCTAGCAGCTGGTCAATGCCTGACATGGCCTTCATGGCACTGTGCTCTTTATGAATCAATGAAACAAGAAAAAAAGGGCAAAGAAATCATCATTGGTCATCGTGAGTTACCCGTCTAAATCTGCCTGCCTTGCAAAGACAACGCGTCGATCAGTATTACCTGATCAATCATGGCCGTAGTGTCACGAAAGTACTTTGCTGCATTACTTAGTTAATAATATTATACTGGCTTGTCAGTTTGACCAGCCTGGCAAGATTTTTCTCTGTTCTACGCTGATGAGTCCACAAAGGATAAAACAATTCCTCTCCGCAGATTGACTATTTCGCTCCTCTTCTTGTGGCTTTGTGTGGGATAGTGCCTTTGCTGTTTTCGTTACGCAGAGCTCACTGACTTGCCAGCTTGAGCACTCTGGCGTTCGGGCCTGGTTTAACTCTGGCTGTGGAAAAGTTATAATTTCATTGCTATCAGGTACGACCTCATTTCCTTTGTGCTGAGCTAAGGAGTCCAAAAGGACGCATATTGAGTGATAATAATAATAAAATATACTTACCTTAATATTCACCTCCATTCATCACATAGAGCCTCGACCAGTGTATATTCACTGTATTTTTCCTCAGCCACGAGACTCGCGTCGGACTGCAGACTTCTGAAAGAAAACATGGTCAATCAGTAACCGAATCTGGACTTTGCGCAGGTTGAACAAGAACCTGAATTCAGAAATATTTCATTGCACCGTGCTATCGGAGCAGCTGCTTGTTTCTTTCGCTCAGGGCCCTACGCTATGGTCTCTAGCCTAGCTCATCAATCATGTTATTCGAATAGAGGGATTATTTTTGCAATACAATGATGAAGGCTATAGTAGCTGGTCAGTTCGTTGTGGTATTGTTGGGCTTTTTAGCCGTCATGGTCGATGGAAAACACTATAAGACCGCAACGAAGTTGGGGCCAAAGAGAAAGTTCCATCAGTTCTAATAACATGAATGACGAGCTAGGCAAAAAGCATAGCGTAGGGCCCTGAGCTTCGAAGCTCTCTCGTTACTTGGATTACAAACTTGCATATATTCGTTGCTTGGCTGCTACGAGCTCAACAGGTTTATAAACTACGAGACAATCACTGGACACTGGCGGGCTACATTCTCTCAGGTCCGAACGACTATGTAGTCACTTTAGGACTCATACCTTCGTGGATGAAGAGGCTACATGACAACTCGAATACTTTTCAGAACAGCAGTATTTGCATCGAGCGACATTTTTCCAACCATGGCTAGCTTGTCCTTGGTACTCAAGGTCTTGACGAAGTGCAGGTGGATACCTGAAGCCATTCCTCCTTGAGCACATATTTCCAGCGCTTGTGCACGGCACAAATGTCCAAAAGGGAGAAGGATAACTGCAAAACCTAATCTGAAAAGAACAATCACCAAGGCAAATTTAAGCGAAAAAGTGACAAAGCATTCTCAAACCGGATACCGCGGCCCCGATGGCCGCGGACTCTGTACGGAATGAGAAAACTCTGTCGAGCGATCGTGATGAGTAATAAACTGCGCAGTAGGCTGATTTTCCTAAGGGGCGCGTTCCACCTTAAACAAAGCATGCATGAGACAATAACGCTGACTCGGTCTTCATCTTCGTGTTGTTGCAGCGGCTCCAACACTACCATCAACAACAATAACAACCGACGCAGCAACGACACCCACCACCCATGACGTCATTGGTAAGTCTATCTCCATGCTATTCAGGCAACTCAGTGTCATTTTCAGTTCATTATTTTGTGCAACACTGTGATACTCGTTGTGCATGTCCCTCTGGCATATCCCGCACGCATTAAAGGGGCACTCCTGCTTCATTTTCGACGCCGAGGTTTCGATGGCAAGATGAAGGTAGGTGAAAGAGAACAAGAAAGAGTCTCCAGAAGCGATGGAATCGAGCGGGAAGACGACTTTAGAATTTCGTTGAGCGAGCGCTGAAGACGTAACGAGGGATTAGCTTGCCGTTGGAAATCCAACTGCGCATATACATTTCAAATAATTTTTGGCCAATTTTCAATCGAAGATGAGGTTGTTTTCTATGTTCTCCCAACATCGTGAGCGATCCCGTCTTCTATACCCTTCCAGGTATCCTGAGGGTCCTCCAGAGCAGAATTTATCTGCAGCAAAGCTTTGTTGATCCGCTAAATTCGTCTCAAGACGTAATCACCCTCTGCTGATAAATGTAGAATGTTGAATCTGTGATAATTGTCGACGATGGAGAGAGAGGCTGATAGCCGCTGCCGCAGGGAGAGAGAAGCTGCTGGAAGTAACAACGGAGAGCCTGTTAGCATCACATGAGCACCCAGACTTCAAAGCAGCTTGACGGAATCGGGGAGTATTGACTATTTGTCTCGCCGCGTTTTGTGAATATTATGACCAGAAAATTATTAGATCAGGATCCCTTCCACAAGATGTGTAGTACAGGTGATTTCTGAACTTGACGGTATGGAGACCAACCAGTGGACCTACAAACAACGTGTACCTGCAGGAAATTCACCCAAGCTTGCTGCTATCCTCTTCAGTGGCTGTTGTGACAGTTTTTCTGTACAAAATATGTTCATTTCTCTCAACATACTTCTGCATGGCAGCAAGGAGGTGCGCTATGGAATTTAACGCCTCACTCTTCGCCTATCTGTGGATGTAGCATGGTCCAATCATGGCAGTACATATACTTGTAACAGATGAGAAATTGAAGGTCATTTGTGATGGGAAGTTTGACAGCCCCAGTGACCGAGTCAAGCATTGCTATGTACTTTTGCCGCGGCAAAAATTGCAGAAGAATCCGAGATGGTCTTAGAATTATGCACATGGATACTATTGGTATGCCAAAAATTATGGTGGCAGAACCATTGTGGATTTGGACAGCTCACAGAGAATACTGGAGGAGCTAAAATATCTCTAGGTGATTGTAAAATTGTTCTGTTCTGGCTGATAGCTTCGACCTGCTGCGCCCGTGGTAGCATCAACCAAGCATCTAGGCTTACATTTTGACACGTCAATGTGCTAGCAGACAATGGTTCAACGTGTTGCTATCAGGCTTTCTGCTAAAATAGCTGTTATAGTCCGCCATGCTGCATCTTTACCCCTCTCATGTCGTATCTGCTACTTCAAATGCTTTGTGCTGCCTGAGTTTCTGTATGCATCCTTTGCTTATGCCCCATATCTATCTGTTCACCAGGAGCTCCATCTGGAAAGGGTCTTCGCCCTCCATGCACCTATCCGAGGCGTCACCAAACTGGCCGCCTTCAAGTCAAGCGCTTTGCAACACATTCTTGCATGCTTTAAGCTGTACGCCCATGTTTCTGTAGGTGTGCCGGAACTGCTCTATTTTGCCGCCACTATTTACCATTAGCCATGCCCACCCCCTACTCCACCCTACACAGTGGGTCCATTGTTATTAGGCATCTGCCTGTTTTGGTTTTCCCACTATAACTAAAAGAATACTACAGTGCTGGCACCTGAAATCCGACACCCTTGCCGGTGCGGCGCCTCAGCAAGGAGGTCGGATTTCAGGTGCCAGCACTGTACTAGGGTACGTATACTTTCTATTCAAAGAATACAAACCTCACTATTGGCCAATGGACTGCTTCGGGTTACTGGTCTATGCGTAAAAATGGTGCAAGTTAAGCCTAGAACATTTTACAGTCCACATTTGTATCAAGTAGTGCGAAGAAAATGTTTAGTCATCTCTCCTGGGATAACAGCTACACCATAGCTGAGTTGGTAGAGCATCGCTGGCCTCAAGCATTTTTCTTCTTCGAGTCCTGGTGGTGAAAGTTAATTTTGTCTCCATAATTTTCCCGTTTGCATCTTCACCTCAAACAAATGAAAACTGGTATTAGGTGGTACTTTGCACCCAATGTGTTCAATAGCTGCATCAATCTGGCTAATTCGAGCAAGACAGGTTTGAACTAGACCCACATAAAATCAGCCTTCATCTCCCCGGAAAACCATATCGTTCTTCTTCCTGGCTGTAGTATCGTGTTCGCGAGATAAGAGCGCTCTCTTGAATCATAACTCGGTTAGTGCCCCAGTATCTAAGAGTCTGTGAAAACATGAGAAAGCTTGAAAGATCAGTGCCCTATGCTATGCTTTTTACCTGGCTCATCATGTTTGTTATTCGAACTGATGGATACTTTACGAAGTAGTGGTTGCGACTTCGGCGATGATTTGTAAGACAGGTTTGCTCCCCACACCGGAGCTCGCGCTATTCCGCCGACTTTACTTGACACTTGACTGACTCACGACTGCCATCCAGAGCACACGAGAAGTCCATCGAACCTTCGACTCGGCAAATCTGCAAGAAAGCACCACTCCCTGCTCAATACACAGTGTTTCGGGGAATTCAGTTGAGCTTGAGTAGGCTGAGGAAGATTGTGCCTGAAGAGCACCACTTATATAGTGCTCTCCAGGCACAAACATCACCAGGGATACAAACTTACAGAGACGCTCCGCTTCCAGCGCGATAAACACCTCGTGAACACCAGATAGTAGCGTGAGTCAGTGTCGCTCCTGGACGGTGAGACAGACGTCGAGGACCCTCGGTCATTCGCAACGCTGTCACCTCCAAACCAACTAGTCACAAGCCCGCGCTGGGCACAACAGTACGAAGTAGTGGTTGCGACTTCGGCGATGATTTGTAAGAAAGGTTTGCTCCCCACCCCGGAGCTCGCGCTATTCCGCCGACTTTACTTGCTCTTCAGGCACAATCTTCCTCAGCCTACTCAGGCTCAACTGATGAGGGGTTAATTCCCCGAAACACTGTGTATTGAGCAGGGAGTGGTGCTTTCTTGCAGATTTGCCGAGTCGAAGGTTCGATGGACTTCTCGTGTGCTCTGGATGGCAGTCGTGAGTCAGTCAAGTGTCAAGTAAAGTCGGCGGAATAGCGCGAGCTCCGGTGTGGGGAGCAAACCTTTCTTGATGGATACTTTTTTCAATAAAATGATGTAACCGATCAGTTTGAATAATATGCATGATGAGCCAGGCAAAAAGCATCGCTTAGGGCCCTGAGCTTTCAAGCTCTCTCGTTTGCGGCAGAGTAAAACTCGTTGGGCAAGTCATTGTATAGCTTGACGGCAGCCAGTAAGGGGCGACAGCCACCTTAGTGACCGCGTGACTCAGGGACACCTTATACGAGATAGTCGGTGACACGGGTGGTGCAAACAAGTAGACGAAACAATCGCCGGTGGATCAGTTCGCTTCTCCTAAGAGACTAAGTTTATGAATACTGCTCAGTTTGTTTCAGCACAGGGATGTGTCCGAATCGATTTTATAAACAGGGTACGTGTATGAGCCCCCGCTGTTTGGCGCCTGTTCATGGTACAATACGAGACATGTACGGGATAGTACTTGGCAGGCATCCCCGACGACACAACAAATTAATACCAAATAAAAGCTGCGCGGACCCTGGCTAGTGCAAGACGTTACTAAAGTAACGCCTTGTTGCATAGTTACATGAAACGCGCTCTCTCTCTCTACAGGCATAACGTGAAGAGGCACATGCTGGTGAGGCACGGTAAGGCACATGCTGGTGAGGCACGGTCGTCAAGGCCTAGACGAGGTCGTCCCCCAAAGATTGGTACTGCGACTGGAGGTGCTCCCTCGCTGGGGACGGAACCAACTGGGGTGTCGCTGTCTTCTTCGTCGGCATCGGCTTGTTCGTCATTGCCTTCGTCTTTACCGTCTCTTCCTTCTATCCCGTCATCAGCGTTGGTATCTGCGGTTTCGTCTTCTTTGACTTCCTTGGTACCGTCATCCGGTGTGTCCACCTTAGGTGGCAAAAATCGTGGCCGGCCACCGAAGAAGCCACGGGATGGTGTGTCTGCGGGACCAGTGACTCGCTCAAGGGCGAGGTTAGCAGAGTCTCTATCGTCTCCGTCGTTGTCGTCATCGTCGTCGTCAGCGTCTTCCTTATCTCCCTCCTCCTCTTCATCAACATCAACAGCCATTGGAACGTCAAAGGGAGCATCATCGCAGCAGGCAGTGCCAGTAACGGACGTGCCTTTGGTACTGACATCTACATCGGCCTCGTCTGGATTGGCAGTAGCGGCAAGGAATGTCAGGTGGGTTTCATTTTTACGTCATTCCAAAGTATGTACTGGTTCTAGTAGGGTTGTTAGGGTGCATGCATCTTCTGTTGCCAACCATCTTGTTCAGAATAGTGATTGTGGTTCTAGTTATGCTGATGATTGCTTTTCTGTTTGGTCTCGTTCACGTAGTCAAAGGTATTTGCGTGTATTGGAGTCTATCTACATTTTTACCACCAAGCCGATTTTGTGTAGGCAGAAAAAGAATTTGTTTACGTTAAAATTGTTTGTGAATTTAGATCAGTAGTTCTCGTTTGTGTTTGCATGGTAACTTTCTAGTGGTGAATTTATCGCATCTGTTGTCACCTGATATCGTTGAATGGTTTAATGTTTCTTTCAGCTCTCATTTTATCGCGCTAGTTAGGGTCTAAAATATTCCTTGCATTGTGCGTATATATATTGAGTTAAGAGCTTTTGTTGATTTGCCAGTAATCCCCTGATGAGATGGCGACGAAAACGTTTAGGAACAAGCTTCTTTATTTACATGAAAACAAGTTTTGCTTGTGGTGTTTGTACTGAGTGCGCAGCTTACTCTATTTATTGCGTTGATTACATTTTTATCTCCACGGAAGCTTTTTAATTATTCGTATTATTATTCT